CTTCACTGGAGGCGGTACCTGATTGGCTCCATGGTGTTCTCCGGGACATGCACGGAAATGCTTATGGTCGTCGGGTTTTCGGCCTCGCTTCTTCTGCCGGATGCAGTTTTTTTTGGGGCCGACACAAATTGAAATGACGATTTTGTCAAGTCATCGTTGACTTTTCTTTCCCCCCTTCTCTTTCTGGAGTGCGTGTCCGGTCATGTTCGCCAACACATCACCCCACAACGGACGCACGATTCTGCCAGACTTCCCGTAAACTTTTCACTCCCACACCGCGGCGTGATTTGAGTCGCTAGGCACAGAAGCTGCTTAGCCTTTTCCCATTTTGTTTCGTCCCTTTTTTTTTTTTTTCAATGTATTTATTTTTTCCCCCCGGCCCTTCCCCTTATCCCTTTGTGTGTGGAAGGGACGGAGATGGGACAGACTTTTGAGGTGTCGAATTTTGTGGGCGCAGCAGATGCCGCGCACTGCCACTCGGGCGTAGGAACGGCCCCGAGAAAAGGGGGTTTCCCAGGATCCAAGGTCCAGAGGCGTCTAATTGAGAGCAGAAAGGGATGAGGTCCCGAGGGGGACATCGGCATTGGGGTCTGTCCAGTCAGCTTGCTGGAAAGGGACATGTGCAGGTCCCTCGGCGGATGGCTCAGTGAGCACCCTSCGGATGTGCCAAACAGTCGGTTGTTCGCGGTTCGGAGTCCCGTTTGCACTCTTATAGGGGCCTGCGTGCTTAGCAGTCCCCTTGCAGTCGACGAAGGCGACGTTCCAAGCGTGGGTTTTGGGACCTTGTACTCGAGTTACGAGGGACTCTCTGCACACGATTTGGGTGGTTTCCAGTTTGCGAGGGAYGGGCGAGTCGTGCTTTGGTGGTCGAGCGAACATTTTTGCGGCACGATTCGGGTCCATGGTCGTCTCTCTCGGAGGGCTTCTTTCACGACAGCTCGGTCGTCGTTGGCGGCGGTCGCGGCTGTCGGGGCTTTCCTATGCCGTGGTGCCGGGTTGTGGATCGTTGCGTTCACCCTCGCTCATCGTCTTGCGATGATTGCCGCCTGATCGCTGACGGAGGTCCGGTTGGCGGTCGTTTGCAGGGTGTGGAGGCGGAGGTGCCCGTCACCGGCTCTCAACTTCGGCACCATCATCCCGTAGGTTACGGGGTGAGCTGTTGCGGCTCTGTTGTGGTGTSGTCTTCGTGTCCGCACTCACAACGGCGCGTTCCGTTTGTGTTGAGGGGGTGTCACGACTTGGTGAGGATGCTCTGCGCTCTTCGCCATCCGATCGGCGCCATTGAGCGGTCGCGCAGGTGGCCTCGGCCATGCACGCGCTGCTTACCGTATGCGAGGGCGGAGACTTGTGGGATGCGTGATGCACCGTCTGACGGCGTCGCGAGGCTGGGCGTCATCCGCCCGACTTTTTGGAATGCGCGCTTGTGCCCGTCGTGTCCCCCAACCTGTGGTCTCGGTATGCTGCACACCGTGACGGATCGCGTTGCGTCGTGGTTCCGCTGCGTTTAGGTTGTGGGCTTCGAAGGCTACTGTCCTCTGTCTACGGGGTTTCGCCTACGTCAAGTGCTGTTGGTGGTGCCCGCGGCAACCGGCGGATGTGGACCCAGGGGGAAGAGGGGTTGTGTTCCTTTTGCGCCCCCGTGCACACGTGGAGTCTTTCCGTCCGTCCGGGCGTGTTGGCAGCGTGGTGCATTCGTTTCTCTCTTCACCCGCGTTTGTCGATGGAGAGATGAGGCTGTGCACTTCGCTGTTAGTACGTTTTGGGCGGGCGGTGGCATCCGGCTGTGGGCCGAAGCTGTCGGTGGTTCCTTCGCGCGCGCCGTTGTTCGGGTAGTGTGGTTAACTTCCGATCTCTGGGTGTGGTGTGGGCGGGTGCTGTTCGCAGCCAATCTCTTGGGCGGGTGCGGCGGGCTGTGTTGGATTGTGCGGTACCTTGCCGTTGGAGATGGCCTACGNCGGTACCTTGCCGTTGGAGATGGCCTACGGAGGGAAGTTCACCTGCAATTCAAACAGCCGGACTTCGCGGCGTCTCGGCAGCTGATTGCACGTTCCACGATTGTTCGACGTTCTTTTGGTAGGCTGTCCGGCGTGACGTGCCTACGTGCGCCTCGGCCATCGCTCCTTGCGGCTGCTCGTCACACCCGCTACCTGGTTGATCCTGCCAGTAGTCATATGCTTGTCTCAAAGACTAAGCCATGCACGTCTAAGTGTGAACACTTTGCACTGTGAAACTCCGAATGGCTCATTAAATCACTTATCATTTATTTGATGGTCTCCTTACCACTCAGATAACCGTGGTAATTCTAGAGCTAATACGTGCAGCATATCCCAACTTCTGGAAGTGATGTATTTATTGGATAAAAGGCCGATCCGGGCTTGCCCGTTGTTGCGGCGAATCATGGTGACTTGGCGAATCGCATTGCCTTTGAGCCTGCAATGTTCCATTCAAATTTCCGCCCTATCAACTTTCGATGGTARGATAGAGGCCTACCATGGTGGTAACAGGTGACGGAGAATAAGGGTTCGATTCCGGAGAGGGAGTCTAAGAGATGGCTACCACATCCAAGGAAGGCAGCAGGCGCTTAAATAACCCAATCCTGACATAGGGAGGTAGTGACAATAAATAACAATACTGGGCTCTTTCGAGTCCGGTAATTGGAATGAGAACAGTCGTAAACTCCTTGAACGAGGATCCATTGGACGGCAAGTCTGGTGCCAGCAGCCTCAGTAATTCCAGCTTCAATAGCGTATATTTAAGTTGTTGCAGTTAAAAAGCTYGTAGTTGGATTTTGGGTGGGAGGGGTTGGTCCGCTCTTGCGGGCGTGTACCGGCCCTTTCGCCTTTCTTGCCGGGTGAAGAGAGAAAGCCTTTATTGGCTGGGATCCAGAGCCGGCGCTGTTACTTTGAAAAAATTAGAGTGTTCAAAGCAGGCCTGTGCTCTGAACATATTAGCATGGAATAACGCGATAGGACTYTGGTCCTATTTCGTTGGTCTTCKGGATTGGAGTAATGATTAATAGCGACGGTTGGGGGCATTCGTATTCCATTGTCAGAGGTCAAATTCTTGGATTTATGGATGACGAACTTCTGCGAAAGCATTTGCCAAGGACGTTCTCATTAATCAAGAACGAAAGTTGGGGGATCGAAGACGATCAGATACCGTCCTAATCTCAACCATAAACGATGCCGACTAGGGATTGGCGGATGTCTATTGGATGACTCTCTCAGCACCAAGCTGATGGGAGCGAATGGAAGGCGGCGACCACACAAACCGGAGGGACGACCTTACGTGTCGTTTTCAGGGAAACGAAGAACACCACCCACAAACGGGTGCTGGAGGGCAACAACAGGGCGGAGCGAAACGCACCACTCTGGGCTGCRGCCCCCACAGGCCCGCTCGGAATGCTCTCCAATTCCCTTCCACTTTAGGCTATCGACGCTCTCCAAGTGGGAAGCGAGGGAAGCCACGACCACGGACCCCACCACTCTCCGAAACGGAAGGCGCTGAGGTCGTGAGGATTACAATGATGCTCACGCGGGCGTGCCCTCGGCGGAAGCTTTGGGCGCCACGTGCATTCAAGGTATCGATGGCTCACGGATTTCTGCAATTCACATTCAGTATCGCATTTCGCTGCGCTCTTCATCGTTGCGAGGGCCAAGATATTCGTTTGCCGAGNTATCGCATTTCGCTGCGCTCTTCATCGTTGCGAGGGCCAAGATATTCGTTTGCCGAGAGTTCTACAATATGGTGCCGTTCCGACAGGACCGACCCCTCGACCAGAACAGAAGGGGGTCGTCAACCCGGACAGTGACAAATCAGAGCAGGTACATCAATAAGAAGTTGCAAAGCCGTCGCCACCAGCCGCTGCCACGGGCCCGCCCGACCCCCCGTTCGGGGGGCTAGGCAGGGCACCAGGGAGCAGCGGGGCAACTAGGGTGCAAGCGCTGTCTGCTTCCCCCCCCCCAACCCGACACCACCCCGTTCACGACCAAAACCCTCCCCCAACGGCACTCCACCCCGAGATTCAGACCACCTCGACTGTGTCGAGGAGGACGATCTGTCCGGAAAGGAGAACCCCGTTGGGAAGGAAGGCAGGACGAAACGGGGAGGGGCCGAGGACCCCCCAACACACCCCGCCCCTAGCCTGTACCACGAGCCTCGATCCCCAAACAAGCCACAAGCTCCGCACGAAGCCGAGGTCGAGGCCGGGATGCAAAGGAGGTATGGACAAAGCTGAGACGGGAAGGAGCGGGGGTACTCAGGCCGACGACAGCTGCCACCACCCGACATCCCGCCCCTGACCCTCCCGCAGGGCTGTTTGTGCCCGGACCAACCGCCATCCCGACCAGAAGTCGAGAGTGGGGCTGGGCCGAGGTAACAACCTCGGGAGGCGAGACGGGATGAAGGGGGAGCAACGCCACAAGGCCCCGGACCCTGCCCACTTCCCCCAGCCTCGAACTACACCACGTGCCCATCTGCGCCGGGCCAGCCGCCAGCTGGGCACTCAGCCCAAGATGGTGCTGAAACGGAAGAGAAAAGCGGATGCAGGGAGGATGGGGGCAAAGGGCAGCGGAAGGGTGAGCAAGCCAGCGGCCCACACCCCGAAGATCGGCCATTCACATGTCAATGATCCTTCCGCAGGTTCACCTACGGAAACCTTGTTACGACTTCTCCTTCCTCTAAATGATAAGGTTCAATGAACTTCTCACAGCACCCCTAACGGCAAACCGCCGAGATCACCGCAATCCAGACACTTCACCCAACCATTTAAGCGGTAGGAGCGATCGGCGGTGTGTACATAGGGCAGGGACGTAATCAGCGCGAGATGATGACTCGCGCTTACTAGGCATTCCTCGTTCAAGATCGATAATTACAACAATCTATCCCCGTCACGATGAACCTTAAGAAGGTTACTCGGGCTTTTCGACCCAGGCAAGCGACTCGTTGGATTCATCAGTGTAGCCCGCGTGCGGCCAAGAACATCTAAGGGCATCACAGACCTGTTATTGCCTCAAACTTCCGTTGGCTAGTCGTCCAACAGTCCCTCTAAGAAGCTGGCCACGAGGAAAGGTCCCCGCGTAGCTATTTAGCAGGCTGAGGTCTCGTTCGTTAACGGAATTAACCAGACAAATCACTCCA